GGCAGGCTGCTGTCGATACTGGCAGCACAGTAGCTTGTCTCGGCACGATACTTGAAGAACACCAGTCACTGGCTGGCAAAAAACAACCTTTGAAGTACTAGGAGCAGCTAAACTACATAAAGGCCTCAGCTATAAGCCCGGTAGTTTTTAGCGTCCCACAACTTTCCGATAATGCATATAACACGTTTAGAAAACTTTGTTCTTGCTTTTTTTTAAACATGCATTTTATTACGTGAAAACTCATCTTATAAATGATCCAATATTTTTCAATAGAACTGCACATGCTTCTTTATAGGTCATTTATCTATGCAATGAACTAAGATAATTGAAATCCACCAACAACTTTTGATGTTATGAGGTTTAGACTGCAATGCAACCATATCAAACTACACAATTTTTGGTTTCTTGGCCCTGATACACTTATTAGTGATGACAATTTAAAGATTCTAGTTCGTTGAACAGTTTTATTGTGCAGATGCATTGCCCTTAAGCGATTTTTATTTTGTATCACAGGATTGGTACTTATCGCTCTTCGTGTGGTGGGCATATTTTGGGTAATTTCTACAATTACATTGTGATTACGTGCACTTTTCTTGCCCAACATACTTGAAGTGTTTTGAAATGGCCATTTTTAACACAAATAAAAACAATCAGTTTAGAACTTGAGGCCGTTCAAATTATGTGCGGTTCTCCGATAAAAGGTCTCGATAATCATTAGAATGGTGTAGTTCACAAACCGATCTCGCTTAATATCTGAGGCACAGCCCTTTAGCTTCTGTCGCAAAAAACACCCTTACAGGGCCAGTAAACATGCCCAAGGTCCAAAAATCGTTGTAAAGAGAAATATGTGCGCTTTTACTTTGTGAACATGCTACTGCAAAAATTTCGCGAATACGTGCTATATTAAAGAAGTTACAGAACATCTCATCCAGATGGTTTCAAATTTTTGCGCGGCCTCGCCACCTTTCTCCTATAGAGGGAGGGGAAGGTGTGGCCCGTCGTCTTGACTCCGCTGACTTTGGCAATGTGACAAGATGTCAGTGATTGACGTCCTTGGCGAACTCAATCAGTCGCAAAGCACTGCCGCCTGCTGCGATGTCTAGTTGTTTACTGTTTACCCGGTCTCGATGCTTTTCCGCAGCCCAGTCGCTCGATTTGCAGCCAACAACAATTTGCAGCAAAACTGCGTTCTGAAACCCAGACATGAAGTTGGCCCGATTTTTCTGCAGTTCGATTTTTTGAGAGCAGACTGTCGCGCCCTTTTGGGAGCAGCAACACAAAACGCAAATAATGCGCTGAATTGTGGGTGTGCTGATCAACAGGAAGTGCGGCAATCTGCTCACTCTCAAAAACTGTGTCAGTGAAATGTACCGTTTTCAATGCATGGAGCCTATGGGGAGTTTCGCGACTCATATGCTTGAATAGGGCTGTCGTAGCTGTGGGTGGGAACAGAACAGCGGTTGACTTCACTAGTGTTTGTTGAGACCTGGTTTAGACCAATTGACGAGCTGCGTTCTGCGTCACGTCGCTGATCACCGGGTTGTCGTCACTGCGCATGCAAGGAGCACTGGTGAGGCATAGGGAAGGAGCACGGAAATTATTTTTCGAAAGGGAGGTTCTGCGCGGCGCGCAGCTCTGTAATATTCAGAAAACATGATCGGTGCGGTCTACTCTGTGAATTACCGAGCTCGTTTGGGGGGTGTAAAAAAAAAGTCTGAGCGTGTTGACTGGCCCTTTAAAGGCCTTCACGGTATCCAAATCTTGTTTTTTTTTGCGATTGTTGTTGCTAGGTGTTTCATATAAAGGAATTCCGCTGTCTTAGGCAGGGTTTAAATATGCAGTCAGACCCACTTGCATCAAAGCTGTTCCAGTATATCATATAATGTGATTGTAGTGAAGAAGAGGGGCCTCAGCAGCATTTCTCGGCGCCTCAGGGGCATCGCCATCAGCATAAGCTCGTGCTTGCTGCGCTTGGCCGGACGCTGCTGACTGCTTCGCCTTCTGCGTTCTGCTCTGCAAATAAACCCCGTTACAGTGATATAAAATTGTTGAAAAATTCTGTGTATTAAGCGAATCTTTGTGTCTTTTTAACGGCACTACTTTATGATAGTGCAAAAAATGTGGGCTTTCTACATTGCGTAGGATGGCCTTTAAATTCAGCAGCTCGCAATCAGGGCAAGGGGCAGAATATTTGCAGCGGTGGGCGACACGTGACGATATACAGCCTTGGTGAAAAAAGTGCCTCAACATCTTTATAAGCAGCTCTGCGCGCTGCTAGAAGCCTCCACTGTTGCCCTTGTTGTTCCATGTGCTTCTTGCTTGTATGAGACATTCAGCTATGATTATGCTGAAAAAAGCAGGTTCTTCACATTAGCAAAGAATGTAATGGAAAGAAGCGGTCGCTCTGTGTGAGGATTAGACTACTTCCAAATGCAGTTCCCCTCCACGGAGAAAAGCCAAGTTCCTTAGGGTGTCTTGCACTGTCGGATGTGCGATAAATCGATTATCCTGAAAATGTTTGTTCGATGTACTTTTTCTACGAATTGATGCTAAAGCATTGTTGTGTGTTAAAGAAAAGTTTTTGGCATCAAGGATAATGTGACTTACCCAAGTTTGTATGCTGATGCATCTATAAAGTCTGTTACCAAGTGCATGTTGCTCACTATTGTCTGAAGTTGAACAGTTTTTTTTTTGCTTAATGAGTCAAGACTAACTTTAGAAGCAATAAAAATGGAAAAACAATTTTAGTTGGAATGCTGTATAACATTATTAGCAAAATGCCCACTTGCACAGCTTTCTATCTGTTAAGTATTACTATTTTTTCCTCTTACTGCAGGTGTCTGTAAAATAAAAGAAAAAATCTTGTGGCATGTCTAACGGGAGGTTGTGATTCCCGTGCTCCAAAAGCTTCTGTGTACCAACGATGGCAGCATTAGCAGCCAAGTGTGCTACTGCTGCTTAAAAGGCTACTCGGTAATGGCTGTAGGATTTGTCCTAGTGATATCGCTTCTCTCGTAGTGGTTCATGATGCAGACACAGTGGCTACCACTTGTGCAGCCACAAGGAATACGTCAGTATAGCAGATACGAAACTTAAAAGGACACTAAAGGGCAAAACAATTTTTCATGTATTAGTTAACTACAATATCATAATGCCTTGGGGTACAACAGCTGCACCAATTGTGCCAATTTGATACAATCTCCAATCTTTGCACCAAGCTGTGCCAAAACCATGAAATTTGCCGGAATTGCGTGTGCTGCGGCTAAATGCACAACCAGCCTCAAAATTTTCTCAGTTGCTCCAATTTCAATGACAAGCGGACGGCACGTTGGCCACCTGTAGTTTGCATCATCAATCAATCTAGTTTTAAACCACACCCTAGCCTTAAATCACGGTGTAAGATATATACTCATTAGGCCAGGACCCTCGTGAAACTCAATTGATCAAATAAAGTAACAATGCCGCGCACCCATCAGTCCGCTGACTGCAGTGGATATTGATTGGTGCGACAATGCAACTTCATGTCAAAAACTCTTTGCTGTAGGCAGCAACACGTCACGGGAAATATGAGTTTCCTAGTCCGCAAAACCGGCTATGGCCTATTAGGAACTAAAGCTGGAAGCAAATGCCGCTGTTACAGTGTGCGAGCAAACTCAACGTGCTGCGAATGGCGGCATTGACGGCGACCAAGTTAGTAGCCATAGCAACGCCACATTAGATAGATATCTGGTGCATTTGAAGCAGCAAGCACGAAGACTAGGCAAACTTGTGTATTACCCATCATTCGCACAGTGGCTGAACGATCGCAGTGCTAGAGTTTCCAGGGGTTAATGTGGGAAAAGTCTATGGTCTCTGCTTCCAATGAAGCCGTCCGGAGACAGCTCGAGCTCCCTAGCCCTCCTGTAGTTCTCCGTCTATGGTGATGGGATAATATCTTTTCATGTTTCCATTTTCTGAGTGAAGGACAAAGAACAGCATGAATGATCAACCTCCACATCGGCATAATTACTCCAATGATGGTTGTTTGCTCTCAGAGTTTCAGGAACATGTAATACATTCCTGTGCTAAAAATTTGTTACACTTGTCCAACGACGTCGAAGAATTCTAAGGATAACACAGCTGGACCAATCTGAACCAATTCATGGGAATGTCAGTAATTGAAATGTGGCTGTCAACTGGGATCGAAAGCGCGTTTCTCAAGCAGAATCTAAGCACTGTAACTATTGTGCCAAAACGGATGTTATCAAAATTGTAGCATGCTTGCTGTATGGCGTTGAGGCAAGAAATTAGTATGAGCTTTGGTTTTTTGTGTTGTATGCTCGTTTAATTTGTGGGCAAGCGTATGTGGTATAAACCTGGATGATGTGTGTCATTGTGGAGCTTTGCTGGTACTATACTCCGTTTCATACATCATGTGCAACGCTGTCAAAGCTAGCGCTCTTGTTTGCGCTGTGTACTGCCGCGACCAAAAAGTAGTGCGTCGCTTGGGGTGTACGAGAATCAATAAATGCTTCTCGGGAAACTTCTAAGCATACATATTTGTCATCAGGTTAAAAAGCAAACGCCTGTGTTGTCGGATAAATAATCCAAATATGCGAGTTGGTAATTTATGTTTGTCGCTTTCGTATCAGGTTTTCGCTCTCCGCGCGACCTGCGCCGCCGTTTTTTTTTTACTTGTTGTGGCAGCTTCGAAAAAATGGCGTCCAGCTCTGCGTCCTCGACCACCTCTCCTGTGCGAAAAACAAGATTTCGAATTGAACTCGCAAAAATTCTAAAAAAAAAAAAATGGCACCACGTGGATTCGAACCCATGCACTTCAAAACTACGGTGAACTTTCCGGAGCGACGCGTCAGACCACTCGGCTACGAAACCGCGCGGAGCAACACCTCGTGTTTTCTTTACGGACTACTTGCCTAGCCTTCACAGCGTTGCACCTGATGTATGAAACGGAGTATAGTGAAAAGTATGCCTGAGGCTAATTGTTGCTTGCCTTGTGACAGATATGGAATCTTGGATAGGTGCCGCCACCTCGTTGAGGTCGAAGGCTACAACGTGAACCAGCCTGATGCAGAGGATGTGACCTTGCTTCACTGGGCAGCCATCAACAATCGCCGTGAGATAGTCAGCTTCTACATTTCTAAAGGAGCCGTAGTTGATGCCATAGGTGGGGAACTGCGCTCCACACCATTGCATTGGGCCACACGGTACGTGTTGTTAGGGGCAGCGTGCAATGCCTCTGAGAAGACACTGACTGGGCTGTTGCTGATGCAGGCAAGGTCACCTGGGCATGGTGGTGCTGCTCATGCGACATGGTGCCGATGCGTCATTGGCGGATGGTGAAGGGTGCAGCTGTATCCACCTGGCTGCCCAGTCGGGCCACACAGCCATTGTGGCATACCTGGTGGCCAAAGGGCAGCCGGTGAACCAAGCCGACAGCAATGGCATGACTCCCCTTATGTGGGCCGCCTACAGGGTGATGACGTACGTACGCTCCTTGGTGCCTGCTGTGTTTGTTTTATAGCTAAAGCTGTTAACAACAAGGGTCGTTCTTGGTGTCTGCAGCCACCTCTGGTGTTCGTAACCACTATTGCGAGAAATTAGGGAACCAAAACAACTGCATATATAAAAATACCGAGGATATAATGGAACTCAAACCCAAGCTTCCTGCATGGCAGCCCAGTATTCTACCACTGAGCTATGCTGGTGCTTGAAACACTATTGCAAACTGACCCTAGGCAGGCTTCATATTGGTTAAGGAGTCGGGTTAACATGTGTAATACTCGTGCCACACGGGCATAGAAAATGACATTTGGTGGCGAAGGCCTTCAGTTCCCGAATGACATTTGTTTCGCCGGCGCTGCTACACGTCCAAAGCGAATGACATTTGACTTGATGATGTCGATCACAGCACCTTCCAAGTGAGCATTGAGTGAATAGCAACAAAAAAATTAAGAAGCATTTACAAGCTTCATACACATCAGATAATCATTAAATGTAAAAATAAGCGTATTACGCTGTCCTAAGTTTCAGTTTCTTGCTTTGTTTTACAACGTTTCAGCCGACCGTAGCAACCTAAGCCAGCACTAGTCAGATCCACAGCGTAAATAGAAAATGGCGCCTGTCGTATCGCACCCACGGAGGAAGGGCATCGCACCTGTCGCATCTCTCAGAAGAAGATGTTCGCAGAGTTCGTTTTTTTCACGGCAGCACTTGTGTGTTTCCGTGCAAAGCATCATGCTCAAGAGTGAATAATTTTGGAGCAGGGACGAGTTATTATGCACCAGCTTCAGGACATTGAACTTCAATTAATATCACACCATTTCAACCTGAGTCACGGAGAAAGTCACAGAGGAAGGAAAGGTGGAGAAAGTGAACTCGATGGCGATGGCGATGAAAATACCAGTGTTGCATGCTTGTTTGCCAATGTTTCCCTAAACTTGACAAGGGTTTCATTATTAATACTTTATTTTCTTCGTTCAAAGCACCTTTTTAAGACTAGTACATATAAAAGACGGGAAATTTCATTTTTAGCTCAATATGATTTGTTTTATATACTTTCAGGTAAATCGCACTTCGCGAGCTGTGTCGTCGAGAGTAGGCATTTCTCAGTCAACTGAGTTCTGGCGAAGGCATTTGGTGGCGAATGGCATTCGAATGGCATTCGGATTAATGCGATTTTGTTCGCCCGTGGGGCACCGTGCGAATGGCAATAAATCTGAAGGCATTCGAGGGTAAATGCCATTTTTTCTGCCCGTGTGGCACGGGTATAATAAAGCGTTTTAGAACAGCAAAGGAACCAGCACGTATCACACGATGCGCATTCATAACAAGTTGGTCAATGAACGCTCCAACCCATTACTAAATAAAGCCTCAGGGCCGTTCCACGCGCTTCCTGCACAGCTGCAACACACGTGCCGGGACCCCTACCGCACGCACGCGGGGGACAAATAAGCCAATTGGCCACGCTTTTTCACCCTCCACAGCGTCGCCAATTGGCTTATTTGTGCCCCGCTTGTGTGCGGTAGGGGTCCCAGCACACGCGTTGCGGCTGTGCGAGAAGAGCGTGAAACGGCCCTCAAGCATGTTTTGTTGTTAGCCACAGCATCAACAAAATGCGCATAGTTTTTTACACGTGTGTAGTGGGTACCATGCTGCTCTGAAAAAAAGATGAAGATGGGCGTAGTATATGCCTCGCTACCACACAAACATTATGATGATTGATGATGTAGTGTGTACCCTGTAAGTCTGTTTGTGCCCCCTTCAAGCCTGGCACCACCCCCGTTTGGGATGATGCGAGGCTCTATGTACCTGTACTCAGTGGAGATGTAGCATTCTTTGGGTATGGGGCCATAGCCCAACCGAAACAGTGCCACGGGCAAATTAGACTGCTAGTGTTCCCTTTAGAAGGCATGGCAGTTCCATGTCATAGCGCTCCCAATCAGCTCTCGGCAGAGATTATGGGGCACAGATTGGAAACAAGACCTCAGCTGTTGCCGACTTTTGCCTGCTGGCTGCGATGCAACCTAGCAGCCAAGCTCACTTCGAGCATGCGCCTGTACCGCTACCCGCAAGTGGCTTAGCAATTTCCCATAAAGCTGCCACGAGCTGCAGCTTAGACGACAACAAGCGTTCCTCGACAATGGCGCGATGGCCGATATCACTTTTGAAACTGCGCCGCTTATTGAACTAGGAGACAGTTCTCCATCTCTTGCTCGCCCGCGCTGCTAATGATCTGACAGCTTTCTTTGAATGAAGTGCACAGAGGCTGCTGCAAAATGCTGCCCACATGATTCAGGCTTTCATGGGGGCAGTGAAAGAGATTATGTGGACTCCCTCACACGTTAACGGAAAGCGACGGGTCTAGACGATCAGGAGGTGCTCAGAGGCGTTGTCCCAGCTGCACTGACTGACACGGCTGCTAGGTGGTGTATTGGCTTTCCGGCCACCGAGTAGCAACCCTCGACGAGTTTCTTGTGGCCTTCCTTTGCGAATTCTTACCTGCTGACTATGATAGTAGGATGCGGTGTGACCTTGAGCTCTGCCCATAAGCTCCTGATGAGTTTTATAGGAATACGTACGCACGATGGAAGATGTTTTCTCTATTGCCAAACCTCTATTTCTCTATTGCCGAGCCTCTATTTTCTCTATTGCCTTTTTTCTTTTTTCTATTGCCGAGCCCAGAGCCTTGAACGAGGAGCGTGTCAAACAGGTGACCAGGTACGCACATCCGACTATTTTGGCGTACCTGTTTGGCAGTTGGTTCAAAGGTTTGGAGGAGTCAGCTTCTGATGCAAAGTGCATTCAAGGCGACATTTACGCCGCACGCTTAGTGCACACCGCCGCCAGCCAGTGAAGCACTTAAGGGGGGAGGCTACACCGGAAACAGAACTTTTTTATTTTTTAATATATCTTCATGAAACTTTCAAGGTATGTTCATTACATAAAAACTAAAAAAAAAAAACGCAAAGTTGCATGAAATTGTGTTCAGGGGTTTTAGGAGTTACTGAGGTCTAACTGGGTGGTTCACTTGTGTGCCTGAAGAAGAGCCGGAAGAAATCTCTGGACTACCAGAAGGCTGAATTTTTTGTGGTCATCCCTGAATAGGTATCCTAGTGCACTAAAAAGCTGTTTTTTTTAAGTTTTCCCCCCAGAAAAATTTTATGCAACGTTGAATTTGATGTAGCCAGTAGGTATGATATCTATCAAAAAATATTTGTTTATTAATAATTAATGGCACCAATTTTCCAAAAAATAAACCTTGTTACACCTTTGCAAAATCATCCAGGAGCAGAATAAAATAAACGCCACACAAATCTGATGAGCAGTTCTTGAGAAATTGCTTTCTTCAACACCACAACTAGTTAAAAAGTTCATTTTGAGAAAACGGGCTTTGAAAGTTCAGCACATGTGTTTTCCTCAAAAAACTCCAGCTGAGTAGCTTGAAGTGTCCTTGTGCACTTTTTTCCTTTTTTGTCTTCCCTCCATCTTCTTCAAGTGCCATTCAGAATTTTTTTCAGACGTAGGGCATCTTTTTCAAGAGCCGGCTGCATCAGTTCAAATTTTTTTGCAACGTTGGCGTAGTTTCGAGTTCAGCCCGAACGGTGTCTCGCGTTCACATTGATTTATTTCTGAGGAAATGCGTCCTCAGATGAAGGGTCGACGGCCCGTGCACGCTATTGGCCCCAATGCAGGCGAAATGCTGGGTCTGGGGACCTTGGCAACACTCCGTGTCACGCTGGACGGTACCCATTCAGAGCATGTGCTGGATCCGGTGATCTCGGACACGCTCAATGCATTCGCGGCTCCAGGTACACATGGTTTGTCGGATTCTGGACTGGTGGCAGCCGACAGCACAGTTTCGCCGGTGCAAGCATCTACGCACTGGGCCTTAGCAGCAGAAAAGTGGAATTTTGATTCTCGTAGAATTCGCGTAACGCGTTTCCCCCGTCCGAACTAGCGCACCGTCTTCAGCTTCATTGCCGGCATCACGCACAGCAACAAAAATAAAGGCAAGAGCACTTGTGTGAAAAGAAAAAAAGAAAAGGAACTGATTGAAAATATAGTGCAAGGCTTCAAGCTAGGGCTTGTAAGCAAATGTCTCATCGAAGCGGACGGAGCATAGAGCAACAGCGAGACGAGCGCGCCGGACAAGCCATCGCCAGGAGGGACCGCCCTCCCGCTTCCAGCGCAGCAGCCAATGGCAGGCGCGCTTTCGCCCGCGAGATATCAACGAGCTGCTCTGGCCAATCAGCGCTTCACATCGCATGGCATCTCAACTGCGCCGTTGATGCCATTTTGAAAAGGCGGCAAAAGAGGGAGAAAGAATTCACGGTCAAAACAAAACTAGAATGGCGCGGGAAGACCGCATGGTCTCGCAGTTGCACGTGTACGAAGTTCGGTTTGATTTTGGCTTTTGCGCATGTTTTGGGCACCGCGGCAGCCTCGAAAATAGCATCTTTTTTGCACTTAGGGGTTAAATTAGCGCTGATATTCACAGAATAGGTAGTTTATGTGACATACAACCAAAAATATGGTTTTTGAAAAACAGACTTTTTCGCGATTTTTCGGTTTTTAAGGGCTGCGTCCCCCCTTAAACCACGTTACATATGGAGAGGGGCCGTGGCCCTTCTCCAACAGCGAAAGCCCACCATAGGTGCATTTGCTACTACTGCTACAGGCGGGTCCCACATGGAAGTTAAGCGATCAAGTTTCAAATCTCTACTGGAGGCGCACAGCCTTTGCTGCATTGCAACTTGACACGTGCAAGCGGGGACACATCTGACAGGCAGACAGAAAAACTTTATTAGAGCAAGTGTGTTTGGATACCCCGGGATCCCTAGACCACCGTGTGGTCTCGCTCCGCGCCTACACGGTCATGCTTCTGGCCACGAAGACATCGGCTGCCCTAGTTACTGCAGCAAGCGGCGTCGTTGAGTCCCTAGACGAGAGCAGGACCTCCCAATCCTCGCAGCTTCAGATGG